TAGGTGTAGGTGGTTGAGGGTGTTGAGAGTGAGTGTGGATGTGGGTGATTGAGGATGCTGATGGTGAGTGTGGGTGTGAAGGTGGAGGGGTATAACATGATATAGTTACTAACATTCACACCCACACCCACCCAAAACAGGTTATTGCATCTGCTTGTCACTCTTTTCTATAGATAACAGACCAATATTTCAATTGAAGAAGACAAAGATACGACGCAATTGAGAAGTTCACTCATAAAATATTGTTATTTTTTCGTCATAAATAATTGTTTATTCAATCGAATCTATACGAAAAATACTCTGTATAATTTCAAAACATCTTGTTCAAGCTTTTGTATGATTTACACATACTTTGTTAGATCTTTTATTTTATTTTATTTTAAGGAAAGAAACAAAGAAATTTCAAGGCTATTGATTATAATAATCAACAACCTACTAAGCGTTATTTATGTGTCAAAGAATTGGAATATTGCTCTTATTTAAATAATAAAAAAAAATTGTTGAAGAAGCTATCGATTCGAATATTTAGTAATTCTGATAAAAGAACAAGACAATACTTATTTAAATTTCATTTTTGAGCAGTAGATCATGATCCAGTCTGTGATTATGCATTTTTATTCATCATTAATGTTGCCTATTTCTTTTTTCTATTTATAATAATCACAACATTTATTTACGTACGAATGCACAACAAAAATATGTTACATGTCTTTAAAAGAGAAATTATTTTTCAGTTTATGAATTCAAAAGCATTGTAAAATTGTATCCTTTATAAATCTTTTTAAATCTTGATTGCATAGTAACAAATCCATCATACAAACAAGCAAGCTAATAACAGAGAAAACTTGTAAAAGTGCGTACACAAGTTGACTAACAGCGCTCTGATAATCAATAGCCACAAGAGAAAAAATTGGAGTCCATCCAATAATAAACATTGAAAACATAAATATCATATGTTTCAATAGATATAAATCACGTCGATTGATTGCTGGCTGTTGACGAATGATTAGAGTTCCTGTATTTGTCGTCATTTGTGGATGTATTCTCTTGGATGAAGAATGAACATGTTTGAATATTTTAAGATTTATAATAAGAGTAAACAATGCTGGAACTATTATAGAAATGAGTACTGTGTAAAACAATAACCATTGTGGAACAGCGCAATACTAAAAATTATTACATATAAAAAATGAAAATCTATCTTTTAGATGTTTATTTAGAAAAATTCTTTACCGGTGAAATATAAAATGTAAATGGTAATGAGATGAGACCTCCAATAATCCACTGACTTGCAACACATATTGCCATGAATTTCTTTGTTTTAAAAAATATTTTTGTATGATATATGATCGTAAAGAATCGATTAATAGTAAGTGTAACAAATGAAAATGAACATTGACAAAGACAGAATGATTCGATGTAGAATAAGAAAGGGCAGGTTATTTCCGTGAATAAATATTCAATAAAATATTCATACATTATAAAATAAACTGTGAAATAGAGACACGTGCTAATCGAACTAATACAAATATTAAGTATAAGGATATTCATACGTTTATGTAAACGAGGAATAAACAACATCAAAAGAGAATAAAATAGTGTAAGCATTATACATATTCCGAATACAATGACTTTTACAAAAAAGAAGATACGTGAAACATCTGCCATGATCTCAAATATTTGTATTAAAATAAAGTGATTGATGATACTAAAATTTATAGAATAAATTAAGTTATTTCAGTCAAATAATGAACGAGAAAGAAATTTTGTGCTCATATCATTTGAAAATAAAATATCCTTTGATAGGCATCAACATAATTCTATGCGTTTAATTTTAACATAGCTTTTTATCTTACCGAAAAACAAAAATGAAGAAGCTCAATTTAACATACAGCAGACTATATAATTGAGGACATGACTCTATCACAGAAGAATAATGCATGTAATTATTTGATAATACAAGTGTATTCATGCTTTATAAACTCATTGAAACGAACTCCATTAAAATATATTTAGATCCATTGCATTATCAAGTAAAAGCGCCCATTAATTTTAAAATGTATTAAAATGCTTCACCTACGTTCTACATTATAATAATTATAAATCTATTCAGATATACACTCAAAAAAAGTGCTGACTAATGGCAAAGATTTTATAAATAGTTTTCCCTGATTAAGATAAATTAAAGCTGTTATTGTAAAGAAAATTTTACTTCTTTATTCTAACAAATTGACTCTTAAAATCGTACCTTTATGAATATACATCCACATCCATTGAAAATAATTTCAATTGAACCGAGAATATAGACTCAAAGATTTAAAAAAAATAATAACAAAATTTGGATTTTTTTCTACAAATAAGCATCGTGTGACCAAGATCCAGACATATTCGAATAAACCGTATTAAAAGCGTTGATAATAGTGAACAGACACTCACTAATTATTTTATCATTTATCTGCGTTCTCTAGTCAAAAATGTCTACGATTGAATACGTAGCGTTCATGTGTTCACGCTCTATTTGATTGAAGCACTTCATGATGATTCTATCTTACATTGAAAATACAATTACGTATTAATTTTTTTCTTTTAGATTCTTTGCTGTTTTAAAACTGTACTAAAGTTTAACTGATTATTTTGAGAAATAGTCTGCTTATAGCGACACTTATTACGACTAATCTCAGTGGTCAAATGAGTTGACCAATCATAATAAAATAACAATTGGCGGTTATAAAATGAATAGACAAGACGAGTTTACTAACATGTAAAATTGATTTTTATTTTTTTAGATTATTTATAATACAATGAATAACGAATTATTGTGTTCGTTCACTCATCTCGAAGATCTTCCAGATGAGCTTGTACTAGCTATTTTTGTTTATATTCCCGTTCAAACTCTCTATGATAGTTTTCGTAATATTAATCAACGATTAAATTCGATTCTTACATCAGTACGATTAAGTGTAAGAATCGAAGTAAACGAAGATCGAAATCAGTTGTTGATTACTTCTGTTCAACATTTTGCTCCACAAATCAACTCGCTTCACATTGCTCTCTGGTGCCAACACCTTGATTTGACAAAATTTCAACGCATCCAATCACTTTATATTTCCCGACCAACATTCGTTCAATTGATGTAAGTGCTCTACTTTAATCAGTGCTAACAAGCTACAGTAAAGTCGAGAATTTACTATAACTTAATAAACATGTTTTAGGTCTATTCAACCTGAACATTTACCTGAACTAAGAACACTTTCAATTAAATATGCTACTCCATTGAAATATGACCATATTGATGATTTTTATCGTCTAATTATATCAAATCGTTTTAAACAACTTCGTTTCGTTCGTCAAGATGGGGCTGATCTTCGTCTTGAACATTATGTTGTCGAAAACAAATATCTCCATTTACTCTATATCGGATCGTGTAAGTTATTCTTTGATTAAATATCTTCTATTTTTCTCGAATATATTTCAGGTGAATTGCAACATTGGCCTGATTTATTAAAAGCATTACCAGCTCTATGTCAATTTACTGCTACGATGTTTTATCTTACTCCACCAATTGCTGTTGCTACATCATTTCAACACATGGCTTTACGTCATCTTAATATTGTACTAGATGAATATTATGATGTCATCGATGATCTTGAAAAAGTAATATGGTTTACGCCAATCTTAACTCATCTAGCCGTTCGTTGTAGACATTCTCTACCGCCAATCGATTTTTTCGGATTATCCGATATGTTAGCTGAATGTACACCTCGTCTCAAACACTTTCGATGTCGATTCAATCTTGTTATCAAAAAAAATGAAAAGATTGCAGAAGTGGATCATATAAGACAAATTTCTCCACTTTTCACTACAATTCACTACAAACAACATGAAACACGTAGTCAATGTTTTATCGTCGCAACAGAACCAATGATGGATGAATATCGACAAGATTAACTATATATCTATTTTTTTAATTTTTTTTGTTGAAATAAAAGATTTAATTGTCTACTTGGAATGATCGAAAGAAATTGATTAACAATGGAAAGTTTTAATTTAGGATCTTGTATATTAGAAAAATAACACTTCGGTAATATCATATTACTTGAAAGAGAGAATTCATAATATAAAGTATGTACAGAATCAAATGACGAATATTTATTAGCACAAGGATAGATTGATTTTGTATACATATTTTCGATATGAAAATACATATGGTAATGTGTAAAGATACATGTCACCATCAGAATTTCAACGGCATTGAACAAACCATTGACGTCCATCTCCATAAAATTCTGGCATATCAATTGATAAACAATATAATTGAGGCATGTTTTTGAAAAGATCAAAAATTTTATAATATCCACTATGAGAACTCAACTTCAATGTTAGTTAATAATGGAGCAGGTATAAGTTCTTCACCGATAGAACAGCTGTTAATAGGTATACGAAAATATTTCAATATATAAATATTTAAGTGATACAGAAATCACTTGTAGATCAATATTTTAAAATGCACGAAGAACATCAACAATATTAATAAATTCAAATAAATTGAGAAATAACTTCAGCTGTTTCTTTTTCTCTTGTGATACATGCCATTCATTGCATTACATTATTTACCATTAATTTTGAAAGTGAATATCAGGATGATTAGATAAGTCAAAAAAACGAGAATTTCAAGTATAATATCAAAATTGTCTAGCTAAATTTATTCTTTCTCTTATACTAACAAATAAAAAAGGAAAAAAAATGACTCATTGAATTGCACAACTCTGTTGTCATTACTCATTTTTTTTCTGTTCTTTTCTATGTAAATGAACATGTGCTACATTATTACCTCTTTGATGATGATTTTATGTTATTTATTCTTTCGTATTTCTTCTCGTCTATTCCTATATAAGTTGATGTCAAATACAATCTAGCTCAACATTTTTTTCAGTTGTTCGTCATCTTACTTATTTTTCTATTGTAGATTTAATTTTCTTTCACATTCATGTCGATAAAACATGGAAAAAAAATGATACCCTATGCTGATCGTTTTAAAATACCACAACAATCAGATATTAAGAAAGCTTTAGGAACATTTGATGATAATTCATTAAATACGATTTTTACTGAACGTTTTTACGAAACATTCGATAGTCTACCATTTCCAAAGAAACCATGGGATTGGCTTGCACAATATGTTGAAAAAGGACAAACTTATGCACAGCATCTTCAACTATCTCGAACTCTTCATACATCAGCCTCTTCGCATCGAAATACAATTTATCTAACAATATTTGGACAAATTGATAAAACAATATTCGATCTAGATAGTTTAATTGATTATACTCAACGTTTTTTTCAAATACCAGTTAAATTAATTAATCCATTTATAGATGTTCAATGGAATAATGAAACAAATCAATGGACATGTAAGTTTTCATAAATAACACTAAAATTTTTATCTAGAATATATTTCGATAAGGTATATTAAATTTATCGAATGGTAAAAATCGTAGTTTCAAACTTCAAACACGTTATAATGAAAAAAATAATCATTCACAAATATCTGTTAGAAAAATCTTAGATCTATTAACAAAAGTTGTACCAATGGATGCTCGATGTCTTGTTGCATTAACAATGTATGATCTTTATGATGATGATACCGATTTATTTATTGCTGGTTTAGCTCGAGGAAATAATCGTGTTGCAGCATTTTCACTCTATCGTTATGATCCATATTTGATATTTAATGAATCAAATTGGTTTGATTGTAAAATGAAAGTTGTATCAGAATTAGAAAAAGAAATTGAAGAACGACGAAATTTATTATTATTAAGAACTTGTCGTTTATTAACACATGAAGTATGTCATTTATTTGGTATTGAACATTGTATTTATTATTCTTGTTTAATGAATGGAAGTGGACATTTAGGTAAGAGTTTTCATACTTTTATATCGAATTTATTTTCTGTTGTTTTATAGATGAAGATTTTACTCAACCATTACTTGAATGTCCAATTGATTTACGAAAACTTCATATATTTCTTAAATTTAATATTAATAAAAGATATGAAGAATTATTAGAATTTTTTCAAATACACAATTTTTATGATGAAATTAAAATGACGAAGAAAAAACTCGATGTTATAAATCAACCACCACAAGGAATGAATTCTTCTGCAAAGAGAAAACGTCTTTGTAATGTTACGACAAATGATGAAGATGTATCACAATCATTTACAAAACATTTCAAAGATGAATAGTTTCACATAAAAATAATTGTTTTCGAGCAATGCTTTCTCTGTTATTTTAATAAACAAGATAGAAAGCTGTGCTTTTGTAAGCGAACATATAGATTATTTGTTCGCTATTTCTTCGCATATATATTTATATGGTATTTTCATCTTTTCCTTCATATATGATCTTTTGACTTATATTAAAAAAAATTGACGACTATATCGCCAGGAGAAAATGGTTATTTTGTCGGAATCATTACGAATCAAGACTTTTCGAAAAAGATCGGCAAAAAGTCCTTAATTTTGGCGATTTTATCGCGATTAAATCGTCGATTTTCCCCCGATTTTGATGACATGGGTAGCCTTTGACTTTGAAATGGACAGTAATATCTTTACTTATCTTCAAATAACTAAATAAGTTATGAAAATACTTTACTTTCGTCATCACTGATTGATGCTGTCTGTAAATTATAAATAATATCTATAATTGAATATTTATAAACTTCTTCAAAAAATAACTTCGGATCTGAAATAGTCAAATTTCATTTTAAGATGCTAGAAATAGAAAATCAAAATTTTCATAATATAGACAAATAACACTTGTCACCTAGTTCTTCAATTATGTCAAGTTCAACATTAACTTATTGAATGAATCTATTTATCTTTTTTCCTGTCTCGTAAATTTAAATTTATGTTATTACACGGGACACATGCTCTTGCTCGATATTCATTTACAACATTACTGCAATGACTCGTAGAAACATGTTAATATTATTTTACCTGTAGATATTTGTCTATATAATCAATATTTCTTTTTTGCATTTTTTTTCTTCTCTTTTAAATAATGATGACCGATTATCATCTACTCATAAGACAGAAAATTATTTGCTTTTATTGACATCATTTATGCTAAATTTTCTCTATATGAAAATTTTATCATGTTTTTAATTAAATATTTCATTCTCTACGCTTATTTAGTACAATACTTATAACTATATATACATATATAAACCATAGAGTATTCAGTTTTTATTTTATATTATATATATTCATTTACAAAGAAGATATTATGGCATCTTATCCAACACATACCTATTTAAATAAATATCTACATCCTAATCGTTATAATTATTATTCATCGTATGAAAAAACAATGAAAGGTATGAATATTATTTGAAAAATATTATATATAAAAATGTATATATTAATTTTCAGGACTATTAATTCCTGTTGATGGTACAGCTGATGTACAAGAAGTTCAATTTGCAAACAGAAAAAGAGACAGATATACACCTACTTTTGTTAAAACTATCATGGGAAAAATATTTGACAAAAATATTCGTTTTTGTTAAAATTATATTTAATTAAAAAATCTATTTTTTTGTAAAATTTTTATTTTCGAAGAATTTATAGAAATAAAATAGAATATAAACATGACATATTCATACAAACGAATATAGGAATAATTAAAAGATAAATATGGTAGTCACATCAGTTCTAGATCTAAATTTACACATAAACGTATGTAATATGAACAAGATTTTTACTTTTCGCATTAATATGTAATATTTTATTAAATCGCTTCTTTCTCGTATTGATGATATGAATATAAGAGTGAAAAATTACATTTTATATTTGAATTTATTTGTAATGCTTATGTCGAGCTTGATTGATTCTCTTCCTTTTTTTGGCAAAGAATCGAGTTATTTTTACATTATATTTTCTAGAGCAGTATATTCGTTTCGTAATGATAATTTTTTCTTACCTACCATAAGACATATAGTTATGATTCAGAAGAATGAGAGTAAAAGAAAAAAAATGCAAGTTGATGGTTACTGCCATGGTTCTTATATCGAGATCGATTTGAGCATATAGGAAATCGCAAATAAGAATAGTTATTATTTTCTTGTGATTAAATTTAATATTGGGACAATGAAAAAATGAACTCTTTGAAAGATGGGTCTGAGTGTGTGCGAATAAAGTACAATATCCACACTCTCAAGATAATTGATAAATATTTGTAGAAGAAATTATTTATTAGAAATAATTGTTCACTCACAACTTGAAAAAAAAACATTATTTAAGTTTTGATGATACACGATCAATATCTTGATTAATTTTAATCAAATTCGAAATCGGAGGTGGTAATGAATTACGATAGATAGTCGATGCTTTTTCATAATAAGTTAATGCTTGTTGCCATTCACTTTTCTTTTCATAGATTGCACCAATATTTTTATAGCACACGGCAATGTCCGGATGTTGTGCAGGAAGTGATTTCAATCGAATTTCAAGTGATTTATTGTAATATTCTTGTGCAAGTTTGTAATCCTCGAGGCCAAAATGAGCACTTCCAATGTTATTATAGCACGTAGCTATATCTACATGATTAGAAGGTAAATGTTTTTCTTGAATAACTAATGAATTCTTATAATATTTCAATGACTTGGCAAACTTTTTCTCTCTTTGATAAACCGTCGCAATATTATTGTAAAATTCACCAAGAGATGAATGATTTTCATCACGTGCTTGTCGAAAATGTTCAATTGCTTTCTTATAATATTTTACTGAATTAACGGGATCATATTTTTTCCAATGAACTACACCAATGGAATTATATAAACTTCCTATTTTAACATAATCAGATGAATTTATTTTTGTATTCATTTCTAATGCTTTATTATACCATTGAAGACTCGTATTATAGTCACGTTTCTCTTTGCTCAATACACCAAATGAATTGTACAAATCGGGAAGTGATGCATCATTCGATGGAAGTTCATTAAGTAAACGAGAATACATTTTTTCTGCTAAATCCAATTTACCCATATCACGTAATAGATCACCAAACGAACGAAGACTAACTTCTTTACCATCACCTCCATAATTTTTTTTCATACGATCAAAAACATCTTTCAATTGTTTTTCATTATCACCACATAAACTCATTTGAATTACCCAAATTTGTTCATCTAAATCTTGATGAATATGATTTATACGAAAAATTGACCCGACCATAAATAATATTTCATAATCATCAGTAAATTGACTAACATCAGCAAATGGTTTCGATATAACAACATTTGGATCGGCATCAATAATAAATAGAACACGATGTAAATCATTTGAAATATTTGAAAATTGTGATGCTTTTTGTTTTTGTATAAATGTTGAAATAAATGAATTCATTGAAATAAAATCTCCAATTGATTGTTGAAGATTATTTAATTCATCGGTTGACATCATTTGACTACGATAAACTTGTATAGGTAATTTAATTTGATATTGTCTTAATTGTTCACAAATATCGTAAATAATAGAACGAAATAAAAATAATAAATCAATATTTTGTGTTATTAATGCTTTATTTAAAATTTGATTTAAAAATGAATTTCTTGTATACCACGATATTGCTTTATCATTTTTATAATTCTCCTTAAATTCTTCAATAAGATTTAATTGCGCAAAATTATTAGGAAATTGTTCTTTACAAATATCGATTAATGCTTGTTTATTTGTTTCAACTGATTTCATCCGAAGAAGTAAGTCAATTAATAAATATGAATAAATAAATTGATTATTTAATTCATTTAAATTATCATTTATTTTATAAATACTGATTACAAGTGGTTTTTCAGATTGTATTCGACTTTTATGATCTAATGCAATTTGAGTAATAAGATCTTTTAATCGCGTAATGACACCTTTGACCTAAATAAAAAAGAATAATAAAAAGAAGAAAAAAAGAAAATATAAATATACTTTATTGAATTCATTTGCCCATTGTTCGTTTGCTTTTTTATCCATACAATAAACATAAATAGATGAAACTTGTCTTAAAGGATGAATAACAGGTACTAATTGTCGACCAAAATGACCACTAACAATAATAACAAGTCGGTCTTGTTGAGAAACTGATGAAATATATTCTTGACATTGTTCTTTATCAGTAAATGTTTTAAGATGATTAATTATTTGCCGAAGTTTTTGTTGTGTTTTTAAATTTTCTTCGGTTTTATTAACTTTTCCATCAAGCCAAAGAAGAGAATATGTTTCGAGATTCCCATCCGTTGAATTAGGTACTTTATTGCTTGCGCTTGCCATTAGTATTATTCTTACTATGAATACGTAACAAATATTTATATGTATTTGTACATATAAATATATAGACCATGTGACACCATGTGTAAGGAAAAAAAATGAATATTTCGAAAATAATTTTGTTTTCTCTTAGTAATATTTTTTTTTGAGTGGTTGGACGATGATAAAACATACGAAAAATAGTAGTTTTTGATTGTGATTGATGTACAGTATCGATTGGAAAGGAGATTCGTACACACATTTTCTTTCGTTCTGTTATATTTATATTCGTTATTTTTCAATAGGTAACATGTATCAGTAACGAAAAGAAAAAATGAATAATGAGTGCTTGTTTTTCTTTAATCTCTACTTGTATTCGTATCGATACACATAATTTATAATAAAAAATCATTATTTTTTTGTTTTTTCTTTTATTTTTGACGAAAAATATTGATGGACATTCATTTGAGAAGAGTATTTTGTCTAAAAAATAGTCGTTCATTTTTTTTTGATGAAATAATAATTACAGAATCGTTTTCATATTCAACATCATCATACTAAATATAAGCAAAATCAATACAACAAACCTTCAGTCAAAACCATCTTGAGGGTGTGTGTGGGTGTGGACCATAGGATATCTTTACTCTCACTCACACCCACACCCAAACTTCGTTTTCATTATTAATTGCTAAATGAAAGAATATGAACAAGCCTCAAAAATCTATTCGAAAATATAATTTACTGCAGAGAAATTTATATTATCAAGATTGTTTTTTATTTTCTATATAATTCAACAATATGACAATCGATTGATTATTTTTTTACATAGGAACTGTTCGAAGATGTATACGATACAGTGACTATAAATTTAATCATTAATATCTTTTTAACTGAAAGTCATGAATAAACATTCTTTTTTCTATTTGATTGTTTTAGTGGAAAGAATAAAATTTTTATGTTAAATAATAGATGACCCCTAGAGTTTCATAATGCATTCTTATAAGTATTCAAACGTTATCCGATCAGCATTGAGTATCATAGAATTCGAATCAAGTCAGTGTTGATTGAATATAAATTGCGGCAAGTGAGGTTCGGTGTGTATCGAAGACAATACACACCCACACCCTCAACTTAATTATGCAGCCGATTGTTGATTGATACAACATACTAACGTTTAACGCGATCGCTTTACTGAATTAGATATTAGTTCAGAAATATATCAATTATTATTGTGATGTAGTAACTTTCGTCATTGGAACTTTTCCATATTGTTATACTCTTTTCCTTCAAATTTTTTCAATATTCAACAGAAGATACTATCAGCAGAGGTCACTATGATTAATAATAAAATTAGTTCCTTTCTGTCGTTGGTTGTAATGCTCACTACTCACGAATTAATGATAAAACACATGATTCATGGTAACTGTTGATAGCTGGCGTACTGACTCACATCGAAAGGAAGAAATATTACATGTCACTAAAATAATTGTAAATGCGAGAGAAAAAGAATGCAAATCTCATGTTTCATTCTGTATTGCGTCTATGAAAGCACGTTGCTCTCATAAAATTGTTTTTGAAGTTCTAAATTGTTAATTGAAATTTAACAATGCATATTTTATTTGTTTATTTTAGATTACGTCATGGAGCGTTTTTTTGGTAGAACTGGCCAAACAACTGATGATAATAGTTCTACAAAACCAAAAGAAGCAAGAGTTAATGCACCGAATATTACCTGGAGTCACACATGGTCATTTGATGAATCACGTGATGCCTTATCAGAATCTTTCTTTGCTAATATTCCTAATGAAATTCTATTGCGCATATTTCAACTATTTTCTGTACGCGATTTGTGTAGTATTTCATCGGTTTGTCGATTGTTTAAAATGATCGCCGATCAAGATGAAATCTGGAAACTCAAATACGATAGTAAGTGTGATTTATGTCTTTTATTTATATACATATTTATTGAATAGCATCAACAAAAATATATTCAAAATCTTGTAAACAAATTTATATGGATTGGATGTACGAAAAATCTCTTCGTAATATCGAACTACGAAGTATTCATCGCCAATACAGAACTGCATGTATTCGATGTGCACAACCTTCATATCCTGTTCGACCATCTAAGGAGCAAAAATTCGAATCCATTGCTGGATTCACTAAGCATCTGAACTCATCAGCAGATATGTAAGAATTTGAATATTAATTTGCACTGAACTTAAGATGATTTTCATATAGTTTACGAATTGAGAACAGAATAAACGAATGATAAAGTGCTTTCTGTCGTTTTAGGACTATCGAACTATTGGTGAATATTGACACTACAGCTCGTGAACTAATACAACTACTTGAAAAAGCATCAAAATTTCAAGAGCAATGGCAGCAAGCTCCCATTTTAAAACAAATGATAACAAGGTACTATCGTTTTATGCGATTGAAAGCATCTCATCCAACAAATATTCTATTGATTCCTACTATGGATATTGAAATTGTCTGGCAGACTCATTTACTTCGACCTGAAATGTATCAAGCCGATTGTCTTCGTTTGTTTCGTCGCATAATTGATCATTCATTACTAATTACTGATATTCAGAAAATGTTGAAAGACCAAGCATTTCAAGATACTTGTCAATTATATGAAAAAACATATGGCGAACACTATTGTACATTATCACCAGATAATGATCAACAAGAAAGTGCATCGGATATGAATCGTCGTTCTAAGCCAAACTATACTTATTGGGATAAGACACAGTGCAAATTTTCAACGAAATCAGCAAAGGATTACGAGAATCCTTTTTCATTTACTGAATCTGATATTATTCTAGATATGAATTGGCTTGATTCATGCAAACAGTTTATGCGTAACGCCCTGGAAAAAATTTCTGGTGAAGCTTATGATCTTGATGAATGTTTTGATATTGATCTTGGTGAAGGAGCAATGAAAAGATTAAAAAAATCGTACGAACGATTTTTATATATGGCAGCCAAATATCCACTAGAAAATAGCAATGGTTTCGTGCCTCCTACTTATGCGGTAAATCCTTATTGATGATATTAAAAAATAATTACGATAATGTACTTATTAACATTTTTTAGATCGATATTATTTGGCACTCTCATATGCAAGAACCATTGAACTATAGAGCTGATTGTATTCGTCTTGTTGGATATGTTGTCAATCATGCGCCATGGCCGATGATCGAAGACAATATTATGAAAAAAACAAGTGATCGATCAGACGATATGTGGAAAAAAGAATTTCAATCGGATATCGAAACTGATCATCTCTATAATACCATTGATCATGACGCTGATTGGATGGACTAATAAGATTTAACATCATATGCGAATACCAATATTTCATTGATTTAGTGTAATCAAGAATAAATTCTCATCTTGCGTACATTCTCTACAACATTTTTGCCTCGAACAAATCGTTCATCTTGAGTGGGTGAATATGTATAGTTAAAAATCGATTTTGCAATTTATTTCAAATATACGTCTCTGTGTGAAATAATAACTGAAGCATTTTTTAAAGAAAAAAATGATGACATTCAAAAACTAGTCTTATCGATTGTGTTAACAGAATAATCGCAGTCTAACGACAAATAATGGAAGGAAATCCATCTTGGAAAGTAAGTTTGGTCGGTTTTAAAAGTTATTTCATTAAACTAACTTATCTAAGGATGAGGGTGCCGGTGAGTATGGTGTGACTGACGAATAGTGAAAAGAAATCTATACCCACACCCTAATAATTTTTAGTATTTTTCCTTGAAACTATCAAAATATAAAATGCATAAGGTCTGAAATAGTGAATAAGCATTTATTGAGAACGAATTACATACGGCAGAATACGATATTTAAAGATTAAATAATGCAATAAAATGATAATTGTATATGGATAAAGCATTAGTGGTACATTCAAAAAATTGAAAAAAAATATATAATGAATAAAATGTTCATATTTTCGAAATTATTCGATCAATTGGTTTTGTTTATTCTAAAAAAGACAAAATTGAAATTAACAAAAAATACATTTCTGTTTAACTTAAATGTAAGATAGATTTAACATAGGATATACCAACTAAACAAATCTTCGCACGAAAATCAGATCTTCTCTCGTTAGCTTATTATTCCCAGTATTTGTCCATTTAGACAGAGAAAAGTTTTATACTAGAATACATTTCACTAGTTAGACCAAATTCAATGAAGAGTGAGCAAATACTCTCATATATCTTAGTTTCTAACTATATTTGTTACTCGTATTACTCGATGATGAAAATCATCAAAGATATCGTACCTGTTGATGTAGAATGATTCTTTCTTTCGTGAAGAACATAAATAAATGGAATAAGAATGCCTATTGCCACAAGTACAAACACTATTAAACCAAAGATCCAGTAATGTGATGATACCGAAAATAAACTTTTCCTATGAAGATAAGACATTACTTATTAATACACTGTAGAAGAAAAAGAGACATACGATTGTGAAGGCGCAGTGGTATTGTTGATATTATTTGCATCCATTATTTCGATGTTGCTCTCAATAGTAGATATTGGTTTGATTGAATTGGTTGTTTTCTTTCGACTTTGGTAAATTTTTTTTACAAAGTAAACAATTTTCGGAGCGATCCATTTGAGAACGATGGTTAAACCACCATATAAACCAAGTAAATAAGTCAGTGTATAGAAAGAATTCAGTTGTTGAATATATGTATATGAACAGATCATTGGTGAACATAGGAATGCATTTAATAAGTTTTGTCATGACGCAGACAAAAAAAATATGATAAAAAATAGAACTTAATTTCAGTACTTTGTTTTATATAAGAAAATAATGGAATATTATAACAGGCACTAGAAAAATTGATTATATTTAAAAAAAAAAGTTTAAGAAAGATATGCAGTGTAGCCCATTAGTCAGGTAGTACAATATTTTTTTCCATTATATGGTTAGTTAATCTGATATTTATACCTTATATATTAGGTGATGGGTGCGTGTGTGTGGATATGATCGCTGAAGAAGATAATACCCGCTACCGAACATCTTTCTGACAGTGAAAATGAATTGATCTTTCTTTTAATTCTACATATTGTCTCCTTCATCGTAACCACCTTTCCCGACCCAGCAATCAGTCTGTACAGTCGGATCACGGGAAACTATGATAAAAGCAAAATGTGCCGTGCAATTCAACTCTTTATCACATTCTTTCTCGTCGTGCCTCATTATACATATCGTTTGTTAATCATTCTGAAGAAATATTCACCAATAATCTCGATTGTTCTTTCATTGTTTTACTTTTTGACAGTTTATCTTTCGATTCTATTGTTTTCGTCAAACATCTTTATTTCAACAATATAAAAACTGATGAAACAACTTTTAACCTTACAACATAGTATACATAAACTGTACAGATTCAGAACTCGATAGATCTATAAATGTGCTTAAAATAAATAAATTTAATTTCGGAAAGATTGTAATGTCTAATTGATGATAAACAACAATAATTGTAAAAACATATACATATAAAACATTTTTCTCATTTATAGAGGTAGAGAGATGAAAACTTAAAGGATAATACTCGTCATGTCACATGGAATTATATACTAGAGTCTGAGCTTTCTCAAATTTCTCATCTGCAAGAAAGAGCAATTTTTTGGAAAGCGCCCAAGATTTATAGATCGCTCTTTTGTATATAATAGTCGTATTTTACGAAATACATATCGCTTTCAATAGGCCATTACGTTAATTTGAGTTTTTTAAAGTCTCTATATCATTTTAAGAAGTTTTCTCCGCCTTTCTATTTTTTTTGTTAATTTATCTAAGTGTATATGAATGTTCCTGATTTTTTTGATAAAAAAGATTAAATAAAATAATCTTTACTTTTATAAAAGTAATATTTGAGACGAGTTTTATGGTGAATAGTATGCGCGTATTCCGTCGTTAGTAATCTTCATTAATTTGCCTTTTCTGTTTTATTCCTGTGTATTGATTTACTGATCGTTTGGAAGGATGGAATTGAATATTTTTACGGGTCGCATAGTGTAATCATACGAATTACGTTCATTTTCCACTTATGTTTGAGTACTTCATTCTTTTCGTGCAAGTCAATATTTTTTTAGCGAATCGAAAATTATTATTAAACAATCGTTAAAATCTTCTGTAGATTGAGTATGTATCCAACGTTTTTCATTGTACGACCACAGAGAGATCAGAGATTTTCAGAAAGTATTTCTCACATGTACGAATTACATATGAAAAGCTCGCTAAAAAAGAAAAAATCTGTGGGGCATAAACCTACTTTGCATGATTACATTATGTGACCTGTAAAATTTCAATTCTATCCTTATTGATGACATATCTTTTAAATAATAGATCAAGATTTTGCTATCCTCCTCGACAAAGATACCTTCAAGACAATAAATGTTGTAAAGCTTATGCCTCATCCGGTACATGTGATTTAATTATTTTGAAATGTTACGTTACTACTAACTATTTTTTTCATGGTTAAATAGTGTTCTCTTGATTATACTTTCTACGGAATGATAGTTATATAATATTTTTAGCCTTCTGCTCTTTCACTTTTTCTCAATCCTGAGTGTGGGTATGCGTAAAATACATCCACATCCACATTCATAGTGAAATAAATATGACAAATAATTAATAATTTCTGTCATAGTCGATAAGAGAAAAGGATACAATATTTTATCTTTATATTTTAATAAATCTTTTTTTCTTTACAGATTTTCTCACAAAAAAATGTCCAACATAACGACAAATAGTACTAGTATTATCGTTGGTGAAGACCAGACTCAATTGATTGCACTCGTTAATCTTCTGAATAAGACCATTTCACAATATGGTCTAGGTCTTATCTGGTTCGTTGGCAATATCGGATCAATTTTGAATTGTATTGTATTTTCTCAACCAACTTATGGCAAAAGCCCGTGTGCCATGCATTTTCTTGCATCAAGTGTTGCACAGTTTTTTACTTTTAATTTTGCTCTTCTCACTCGTCTGCTTCAATATGGTTATGGTATTCAAGGTACTAACATTTATGTTTGGTTTTGTAAAGTCCGCTTTTATTTATTCTACATTTTTGTGGCTGTTCCTCGTTATAACATTGTCATGGCCTCGGTTGATCGTTATTTTGCCAGTTCTCGCAGTGCTCTTCGTCGACAATGGAGTTCGTCAAAGATTGCTACACGTCTAATCATCGGCAATATAATCGTCTGGTGTATCATATATGTTCAGGTTCTGATTTTCTACGATATTACTAATGGCAGCTGTTCATACGGTTCAGGAGCTTATGGAATATTTTTCAGTATTTATATTTCAATTGATAGTGGAATTCTTCCTCTATTATTAATGCTTATCTTTGGATTACTCACTGTCAATAATATTCATAAAACAAGAAAACGAATTGATGTAGCCCCAACAGGTGATCCAAGTCGACCAGCACAAGCGGCTAAAATGTCAAAGAAAGATATTCAACTTCATAGAATGTTAGCAAATCAGATTTGTCTTTTCATTATTTTAAATATGCCAAATCCTTGCTATCTCGTCTATCGGTCATTTACCATAACTCTAGTGAAATCACCATTTCGTCGTGCAACTGAAACATTTCTCAGTAATATGACATATGCTCTTATTCATCTTGGATTTTCCTTAACATTTGCTAACTTTTTTATATCATCCGATATATATCGACGAGAATTTCTTCAAGTCATTCGAATTAAAATACTTCGTCAAACTTCAGCGTCTACAGCAACTGAAGGAGGAACAACAGTGAAAGCTGTTCGTCAAAACGGTGGCAATGGTTAAAATAGACAAAACGGAAAAGAAAAGAACTATAACTTCTAGTGTTTTATCATGCCTTTTAATGTGCTTTCTGTATAATCATGCAATATATTTATTAATAAATGTTTATCATTCTTCAAGAATGTCTTGATATATAGTACAAAATGTAAATTATCACAGTACCTCATTCAATTGCTTTAGAATGAATTCTTAATAAGACTAGACTATTTACAACTTAAATTAAATATTTAGAATCACACCCACACCCTCAAGATCTTTACGTAATCAGATAATACTATCATTATACTCTTGATAACAGATGTTTGTTCTTTATTCTTCCAAAATATGTTTGTGATGTGATTTTCTTTCGTTAATATTTCACGGATAGGACAGAATTGCATCTTCAGAGTTTATGTCTTTTAGTCATAACAAAGAGTAGTAATGATCATAGATTATGGACGAATTTTATCCAGCGAAGAACCTCAAAAGTACATTTTTTTTATTATATCTATATTGATATAGATAATATAACAAAGTTCCATATAAAAATCTAATCTATGGACAATTACTTTGTCTAAAACAATGCTGAAGATAAAATCAATGAATACTTGAAAGACAATATCTACATAGAATAATCTTCATATTGAATTCATAGAAATATTCTAACTGTTTCTTCATTTTATTGACAAAGGTTCATTTCAATAAAATTATAAATCAAGGTAATTCATTATTCCATATCAATAGATGACTTCAAAAGCTAAATTTAATTTGTGAATTAATGACATATAGAAAATAATTGAATAGTTTTTACTTTACTTATTTATATCCGCTCTATAGTTACTAGAGAAAATGTCATGTAATATTTCTGTTAATCACGCAAAAGAAATTCAATGTATCATTCAAGAAACACATGCTACATACAAAAAAAAGACTACATATCATTTCTATGCAAAACTTATTGCTCTATACTCGGTAGTGATACCATATTTTACAAAAATATCGTTTATTGTCAAAAAGAGAAGTTTGTTAAATCATTAATTAAAAATGATAATTACTGTTTAAATTAATTTCATAAATATTGAACGAAAAAGCCAAGTGTTTTATGTTAAAAAATGCACTTCGATATTATGTAAAAAGATTTTAGAGTACTAGCAGTTAGCTAAGCGTTATCTTTTTTCTTCTCTTCATGTTAATTTGTTTCACTTGTGAGCATTCTTTTTCTAGAAATAAATGTTCATAATAATATAAATAATATTCTATTCATGATTTTTCTACCATACTAATTTTTATTGCACACATGAAAAGATTACCGTTGTCATTGAATTTAATAAAAGAATATTTAAAAGCATTTGATGTCATGAAAACTAAATGTAGGTAATGAACGTTAAAAGATCATATTTATATCCATTTTACATAACTAATATTACATTTTCTTTGTTCTAAAGGTTTAAAAGCCAAACATTTTAAATAAATACAATGCACAACTCTATTTTCCTATCTTTTTTTAAAACTATATAACTTCATTTTGATTTATTGTTAAATAAAATAACATTATAGTTTCAAGTCTTTATAGATTATTGAATCCATATCCAAAGTTGAAGAATGGTGTCATTGACATATATTGGTAATCAATTTACAATTTATGGAGGATATCTTATTCTTCTCACAGGTATATTAGGTAATGGAATAAATATTCTTATTTTTCTAAGTAAGAATACTTATCGTACAACTCCTTGTACATTTTATTTTCTTATTGCTTCAATACATAATATAATTTATATAACATTAAGTATTATTACACGTACTATGAGTATAGGCTATGGAATTGATCCAACTCGTACTTCAGTAATTTGGTGTAAAATTCGACAATTTCTTATTGTTACTGTTAGTTTAATAGCTTTGACTTGTTCATGTTTAGCAACAATTGATCAATTTTTAGTAACATCGAGAAGTGTTAATTATCGTCGTTGTAGTAATATAAAATGGGCTCATCAAATTGTGCTCATTGTCATTATAATCTGGTGTCTTCATGGAATTCCTGTTGTTTTGTTCCGTAATATTTCACCTATTACCAATACATGTGTGAACACCAATGCTATATATGGTATCTATACATCGATATACATTCTTGGTCTTCTTTGTGCCATTCCAGTCTTAATAATGCTTATTTTTGGATATCTTACATATCGAAATATTCGTTATACACGCATGCTTGCTGAACAACGTATTGATCGTCAATTTACAAAAATGGTTTTTATTCAAGTAATACTTTTAGTTATTTGTATTGTTCCATATGGCATTAATAATACTTATAATTTGATAACATCAAATGTTTTAAAAGATGCAAATCGATTAGAGAATGAAAATTTTGCTCTAGCAATTTTAAGTTTCATATCTTATTTCTACTATGCTGTATGTTGATTTATTCATCCTTTGATTATTTAATAGATATTCATTTCTGTTTAGGGAAGTTGCTATATGTTTTTGCTTTCATCAAGTCGTTTTCGTCGAGCAATAAGAGAAAAAATATTTTGGTGGCGAAGAACAAATCATATCAACCCATCCGACTTAGTTGTCCAAAACTAGAAGGGCAACGTTAGAAAACAAAACACACACTTAATATGAATGTTCATTATTTCTATAAATCCATGTTTTTTTCATAATGTATACGTTGATATTAATTTTATTTTGTGTAAAACTAGATGTTGAGGATGTGAGCCTGGATTCGATTTTTCTATACCCATAACGACGTTTCCAAAATACCGCCCACATCCAAAAGTACGACCACAATTCACATTTTTGTTTTCAAGGTTGTTTAGTCATAAAAAATTTAAAATATCGAAATTTTCTTATTATTATTTTTTATTATAAATTTATTTATATATATAGTTATTTTTTATTGGTAATAAAAGTTTTTGTATTGAAAATATAAATAAAAAAGATTTGTTTGAGACATCTTATATTTTTTGTAGAGGAACTATTTCGAGATTAATTTCTATTGTATTATTATTTGTTTATATACATATATTTTTAAAATTGAAAATAAAAAATCGATTAGATAATATTTAACAATGACACACAAATATTACTATGTGTTAGAATCAGAAGAAAAATCAATTTAGTTATTTGTGAGCATTTTCTAACTCATAAAAGACAGAAGTATGTTAACGTTTAAATAATTAATAGCGACTGAAAATAGTCAATTCCATTTGAATGTCTTAGACAAGAAAAGGTTAGTAATTATTTTAATACAAAGAACTTTGATGATATTTATAAAAAAATAACATATAGATTTCAAGTAAAATATTTTTAAATAAAGGTAATATATTATTGGAGAGAAAAGAATTTTTTTTTTCTTTGTAGAACGTGAATTTTCATATGACTATTTAAATCTTCAATGTCTTTTTCTTAAACTAATTTACCTATATAATCTTGAACTAATTATTGATAGAATCAATATTTGTGACTTACGTTATTTTTTGAATAAAAAATAAAAAGAATTCCTTATATATTCAATTAGATGCATTAAGAAAAGAACACATACGAGAAATTCATTTTGTATCTCTTCTATAAACATAGTCATTTCACAGTTCAAAAAAATTATATTAATATTGTTTAAATCGTTTTAAATTCACATATAGTTTGTCGATAATTAAAGTTCTTTTTGTGACATTTGATTGAATATAAACAGAAACACTATTTTAGATTATTTCCATATTTATTATTTATAAAAGACAATGTCTTTTCTTTTCTTTCACCTCATTTCCCATTAAACAGTTCTTTCGATAAAAGATAAACTATATATATGTTAGTAGACAATTATTTAATGTATTTTCTTCTCATAAAATTTCATAAGATAGTTAAACTAGTGAGTATCTTTACATTATACTATTTTATTTCTACTGTTCATGATAAATTACATTAAAAAAATAATTTTATCTATTTTAATATATTCAAAACATAGTATTTTTTTGCGTTGTATAGCAGTCATGATAATAGAAACAAAAAATCATACTGAAATCTGTTTGATTGAAAAGTTGGTTTCAGTAAATCAAATGATACACTGAGATTTTTTTTAACGAATTCAAACAATACAATTTTTTTTCTATAGTATATTAGTGAAAATCTTAGTTTGTATGAAAACAAATGGAGCTTTATTTTAAATGTGCTCGAACCCTATAATTCAACGATCTTATTTATTATTACTGTTCAATGTTTAGTAAAATTATGTAATATTTTAGTTACTTAAAATGTTGAAAATACAATAATTCACTTTTATATTTCTTTACCATTTTCATTAATTCTTGATGAATCTGTTTTTGTTAGAAATATTCTAATCTAACAACGAGAACCTAGCCATAATCAGAGTTTATATAATTGTATATCAATAAAAAAAATCGAGTGTCATAGAATTTATGTATCTAAAAGCCTAACAGTTTTTATGGTTCTATCAAAGTAACATTTATTCCATAAAGATTATACTAAGATATGATTTATATTCATAGATTGAATGTCAAATATATCTTCTAACGGAATAAGTATGATATTAGAGCTGGACTAAGATAATCTATTATAGACTAAACATGTGATATTTTATATTCATAGAATTAAATTGATTCGAAGATATACGTTACTAATAGATATATCATACGTGTTGAATCTGTTTTTTAGGTAACTATATGAATATATTTATTGTTATTCGAGTAACTATTTTGTTTTTTTATGGAATTTTATTGATAAAACAGAACTAGACGTTAACAAGTCTTAAAATCAATCATTTCTAATCCATTTTACTTTTTATCCTCGATAATAGAGACTTTCAATATTTCTGTTCTCCGTCTATAATAAGCATTTAATCAGATAAGAAATATCTGATACTTTCATCACTGTCGTTATTCACATATAAAATATTCTCTACATTGTTGTATCTAAAATTATAGCAAACATGGACCTTAGCAAAAATAATTAGCATTATTTTTTCTCATCAATAAAAAAATTAAATACAAGTCATTCTTCGTAATTAAAAATAATTGTAATGCAAGATAATAGTATATAGTTTTGTCATTTCTAATGATATCTTATAAACATAGACGTATGACTTCATATATCTAGATTTACTAAATTTGTCTTTATTACCTATTCAATATGATGCAAATCTATGATGTCAGTAAGCAAGTAATTACTTGCATGGGTATATTAGTGATATGCATTAAAAGTACTTATATCGATTTGTAAGTACCAAGTATTTTAAATTAAACCATAATTCATCTTTTGATATATGCATGCATTATAGTGCTTATCAGGACTTCAACAAAAGAATTATTTCGATAGGACGTCCTCCACAGAAATAAGCAGGACGCTGCAATGCATGTATACGTTAATAAAAAAAATAGAAATATCACATATAGGATGTCAATGTGCATGATTATTATTTTTATTCAAGAGAAATTAATACATACAACTTCAAGAGATAGGTTTTTCAATACTATCGATTCTAATATTTAGCTAATTGTTAAAGAGTTTATTAGGATATATTGATAATTCTTACTATGAGTTTTTTTTTAGATATTGTTTAACCTAACATGAATGACATAGAAGAAATATATCTTCCATCGCATAATCAACATCAACCTGTATCAATATCTAATCATGATTGGGTTTCTGTAACACATAATCGATTGTAAGTATTATATCTCTTTCACTGACAAAAGATTCCAAAGAGAAATTTACTAACTATTTAATTTTAAAGGACTAAGCGCTTCAAAATTTGGATTGGAGTCTGTACAGTGATTGGTATAGCTACGTTCTTCGCCGCATTACTTGTACCGATACTTCTTATCAATGGCAAATCAACATCCTTTAGTACTACAACCACAACTACTCAAGCTACATCAATATCTACAACAACAACCTCGATCACGTCTACAACCTCAACTGCAACGTCTACGACGTCGACTTCAACAACAACTTCTGCAACATCAACATCTACGACATCGACAACCTCAAGAACAACTTCCACGACATCAACATCAACAACCTCAACTTCAACAACAACTTATACGACATCAACATCAACAACCTCAACTTCTACGACAACGTCCACGACATCAACTTCAACAACAGCAACAATCGGTGAGTTACCAAAATAAGTTAAGGGTATGAGTGTGGGTGTCCGTAAATAATGGTCTCAAAACCTCATCGACATCCTCACCCGTATCCTAAAGATGATTTTTTTCTAATTCTCATGTTTGAAATGACTTTGTAGGTCAGTTACCACTCGTCAGTATTAATGGAACGATTATAGGTATATACAAAACAACTGTGGGCACCAACAGCACGACAGCAACACCTGGTAATTATATCGGTCAATATATACCGACTGAATCACCGTATAATGCATGTGATAATAATACAGGAACAAAGTACTTAAGTTTTGGAACATGTGGAGAAACAACAATAGATAGTATATGTGGTTTGAATACTGGTTTGTATCTTGAATTGCAACGTGGTTTGTCATTAATCATTGGACTACAAATGTGTACAGGTAATGATTATCCAGAACGTGATCCATTTATAATATCATTAGAAGGAAGTAATCTATCCGGAACAGTACTCAATCTTGGTACTAGTTGGACTCTAATCTATAATGGTCCTAGTGGTCTTCAAACAGATCCTGGTCGATCTACTTGTGGACGATTTCAATCAATAAATAATACGATTCAATATAAAAGCTATCGATTTCTTGTTTCTGCCAAACGATCAATATCAAACAGCGTGCAATATTCTGAAGTACATCTATATGGGTATTGATTCTTTGCACTTTAGAGTCTCATAGATCAATACGCAAATTACAACAAAAACTATCGGATTCTTTTACTTTTCTCCAAATTTGTACGATACTTTTTTTAATCAAATACTTGTTTTTTTCTCTTGTAATTTCATATTTTTATTCATTAACTTGTAAACTAGCTAATTATTGTGTTTTGTGTTTTGTTTGCATATCAAAATTCACTACTTACTAAATAAAACATCTTGAATAAATAATCAATATTCTACTGCCTATCAGAATTGATACAAACCAATAACTACGATTGCCTCTATTTATACGAGAAAATACGCAGAAAAAACATGAATATATATAATATAGTAGCTAAAAATTATGTTTTATTGCATGAAAATGCAACTAAACAGATGATATATTGATTCTCAAACAATCGTTTTATTTATAATCATTATAGAGAACAGCTCAATTTACGGACAATTATTCAGCATGATATACAAATTTCCTAAAAATATTTAAATTACAAATAGGTTTATTAATTTGTCAACAGGAAAAAACAAGTATATGCGAAGTTGTATCATTTTCAGTCAGCTGAATACGTTTGCATTATGGAAAGCAACCATTTATTAAAACACGCATAGATACAAATGTTCTCATTTAAAAATGAAACGTTTTTAAATCATAATTATATTTAAATGCATTCTCTCATTTAATCATATCTATAAAAGCCTACGTAAGTTTAAATGCATACGAAGAATTAATTTTTAAAAATATTATAGAATTTTCTATAAATCTTTTTATTTTTGTTTGCAATATGTTTACCATTTTGACGTTTTAAACACTAAAAGATAACTTAACAGAATGGGATGTTTTGATTTTTTTTCAAATGTGAATCAAAAAGTTTGTATGCTTTTTTTTTTTTTTGATTATGCGGTATTTATTTCGTTCCGTCCAAGATATTTTTGTCATTTTTGTTAGTACAAGTACAATTTTAGAGGACGCTTACGAAAAGACAATGATGATAACATAGTGAAGAAAGGAGTTACAAAGAGGAGAAAACAAACAAACTGGCGAGGTCGTATAACCATGTCCACGTGATTCTTTGCTTATTCTTCGTACGAACTGTATATTTCTTCTTCCTTCCATTCTTCCATCATCACCATCACCCGACGAGCCAAGGGAAGGTATCGAACCTTCTGATATCTGACTTAACAGTCAGACGCATAGACCACTATGCCATCCTCGACTAAAAAGTTTGTATGCTATTGAAAAAGTTTTTGAGAGACAACGTAGGAAAAAAATAAGAAACTGAACTTCACCAAGGGGAAGAACCAGATAATACTCACATTTTAAATCAAACTAAGTTTTCATTCAATGTATTAAACTGTAATTAGGAGTACTTGAATGGGTATGTTAATCCTAATATTTTGTAAATAAGTTTAAATTATGTTTGCACTGAGTTCTTATTAGAATGCATTTTACGTACATTTCGAAGTTGCGTGACAAAGATAACTCATGTTTTTCTATGCAGACATTTTTTAAGTCTATAAATAATAGTCAAATATAGATAAATTTTAAAGCGAGTTTTAATGTTTAAATAAAAGTATTGTAAATTGATGCTTTTGAAAATTATTCATCGTGGCTTTGATTGTGTAACCAAATAAGACAATAAAAATATATTACTTAAATGATTTCTTATATTATAATAAAACCGGATCTCATGTCAATTATGTCTCTTTTTTTGTTTTTTTATGTAAATTATAATACTATAATTATGAGATAAATATTATAATTCGAGCGAGAAGAAAATCATCGTCATATATAAACGTTAAGGATTTTAGTATGCTTTACATTTATTTTCATCTGCAATAAACAATAATTTTCTGTGTGCGTCACTGATTTTCATATACTACATCAGCAATAATGTCAATATCAAATACTACTTTAACTACTATATCAACAGGTACACCATCTGATGGCATAGCTATACCTTTGATTGCTCGATTCTGGCTTTATCTTATCTCAGATGTTTTATCACTCATCTGTGGTTTTTTCCTTCTTTTTCATCTTACATTTGATTCAACTCTTCGTCGTGCTTTACATAATCATGTCATTATTGCTGCCTTGTGTTTGTGTATTATTCGAGAAGTCACAACTATTCCTTGGACAATGCATGTTTATCTAGTTGGTGTTGTGCCCATAAAATCACCAACATTTTGCATGATTTGGAAATTTATTGAGTCTACTGTTTATACCACACTAGCAAAACTTGTGGGATGGGCATCCATTGAACGACATATTCTTATTTTTCACAACCAATGGGTTGCAACAAAGAGGCAACGTATTCTCATACATTATATACCACTAGCATTAATTATTATGTATGGTATAATACTTTATGGTGTAGTTATTCCAATAAATGACTGCAACAGAAGGTTCAATTATAATGTACAAACATGTGGCTATGTTAGTTGTATATACAACTCTGCAGGATATTCTTTGTATGAATTTATGTCTGGTGGAGTACTGTCTTCTTTATGTATAGGATTTGGTAGTGTTTTTTTAATCATTCGCATTGCTATTCAAAAGCATCGTTTACAGCAACAGGTACACTGGCGAAAATATCGGAGAATGACAATTCAACTATTGTCTGTCGCATCGATTTTCTTTATCTTATTTTTACCTCCTGTACTTTGGGGTATTTGTCAAAAACTTGGTGTTCTATCTACCGTAGGCTCCGTGTCTTATGGTTTATACGCAACATTCTTCAATATTTATGTTATCTTTCTTTTCCCATTTACATGTCTTGGCACATTACCTCAACTTCGCACTCGAATAAATACAATAATTCGGTTGTTTTACCGACAACAACAACAACATAGAGTTGCTCCTCAACAAATAGCTACAAAACAACCAATACGACAATCACGCTTATAAATGAACAGAAAAAAAGACGTCTATTTAAAATTTATTGTATTGTTTGTGTAATTGTGAAAAATAAATTCATTATTGTCTTTATCGAATGAATAAGCTTAGCATCTAGTTATTATTTATCAAAATTATTTTTAACTATAAAAATAAAGAGCACAGAGAGAGGGAGAGAGAAAAGACGTCATCATGATAACTATCTAGCATAAATAATTTTCTGCAACGATTATAGCTAAAGAGATGGAAATGAAAGCAGTCATCCTTCTATTCCCATTATTGTTTTCATTAGTACAATTTTAGAAAAAGAAATGAACTAACTAAAACTATTCATGTATTAATTTTTACGTAAAATGATATGATCAAAAGAGTATACAAGATTTTGAAACTTCATTTTTAAAAGCTAGTTTTCAGAGAGATATGCATGGTATGTATGAGATTGTGATAGGCATTAAGTGAGTTCTTATCAATAATTGACATTATATCTTATATAAGAAAGGTGTACATTTTGATAAGATTTTTATTATTATTGTTAGTGTTGTTGTTGCTGCTAGTAAATGATTTAGATGTGAGTATGGTAGGGATGTTGTTGAGGACGCAAGTGATTTTTTCACCCATACCCACGATTTTTGAAAATTCAATCGAACCGAACTTGAACCAGAAAAGTTCTGCTCGTTTGGGTCTCTAGTCAATTACATAAAAAACAATCTGTTGCAATAAAAAAGCTTTAGAAGAGGTTAAAAAACTGGAGGAAATATTTTTTATGGCGGAAGAGAATCTGATTCGAATTCATGAAAACAATGCATGAGATGATCGACTTGGTTTGTTTAGTTTTTATTTAAATCTTAAAAATAAAACTAATTTTTTTAATACAATTAATTATTCCAAACAACTTCCACTTGCCCGAGGGATTCAATTCGCTTAAAAAACCAATCTGAATTTACTAACCGAGTGTTTTTTATGTTTTGTTTTTGTTTGGCATGATAAAAAAACGATCTTTCCGATTTAATTTTAAATGATGAAAATTTTCTAAATAGAAAATCCTGCAGATTTTGAACATATATTATTCTATTATTGGCCATATTTATTTGCATTCGTTGATCCAATAACAGCAACAACATTATCAAAAGTTTCAATACGTAATTGGTTAATATCATCATCATCAATAAATTCATTCGATTTTGAACTTCAATATTTAATTGATTTAAATAGAGTTTTTTTAAATGAATATCGTGTACCAATTCCATTATGAACAGTAAATGAACAATGCTATGAAAATGGAAGATATTGGTTATATGAATATATTGATGGAAAAGTTTATGCTGATAATGATACAATACATTTATTGGATTAAAAAGACCATATTTCACTAGCCAAATGTATATCGAAATATCATCAATTTTTAATGACACATTCACCATCATTAACAACAAATAAAAGATGTACAACTGGAGAACATCTTCTTGATGAACTTAAACAAGCGGCTGTTAACAAAATATTTTCAAAAGAAAATCATTATTTATTTTTTGTCAAATAGAATTCAATTCCTCAATCATCAACAACAACAAGTGGAATAGGTTTAGCAAGTCAATATTTTGTTGGATGTTATCCATTATTATGTCGATTATTACGTGATTCATTATCACGTCAACAAAAATGCAATATAAGCCGTAGTTATCCTATACATCAAAATCTTTGCCCAAGTTACGTAATCTAGTCACGTGATAATCTTGTTATTGTTTTGTTAAATTTTGAAAATGTAAATTATGATACATTATGGCATGATCTTGTTGTTTATTTATCAACATTTTGTACATTATCATCACTATGAAATATAACTGATGTTGATAGAATGAGAATATTTATTGAAGAATAAATGAAACAAATGTCAGGTAGTACAACAAGAGTTTCATCACAAATTGGACAAGAAGTTTTTCAATTAATTGTTGATGATATTATTTTATGTGCTATTGAAGAATCTACTTTTATTTATTGTCAATATATTCATCAAAGAGATAAATTTCAAGGACTTACAGCAGTGAAGTTTTATTATAAAAGAGCTCTTTGGCATGCTGAACATGTATTAAAAAAGAATTTTTTTTATCTTTTTCTAAATAAAAACTATTTTTTTTGTTTCTTCATTGTTCGTGAATATATTCACCTCGAAAAACTTTCATCTATTATTATTGAATTAAACTGAATTACAAATTCTTTCATTTTTTCCTATCTTGTTAATATCGATTTCGCTTCCTCGATTTCGTATAAGAAACTTTCTTTCTGTATAGGCCGATAAGAAAAAAGAATGGGATATTTTTCTATGCTATTTTGATCATATTTCAACTACATGGGACACTAGAAAAGTTTCTTCGCTCGGCTCTCTTGAAAGACTTGATCACGAACTAACCATACCAGTATAATGCTTAGAAACATTTAGGACTATATAAAACTGCTTTTTTTAATAATTGCATCTTTCGCTATAGTTTGTTTTTATTTAACAGAAAAACATATTAGATGATAATAAGATGAAATAAGAAAAAAAGAGCCTATTCTGTGCAAAATAAATACAGTTGTTCTACGACCAGAATGTGCTTAGTAAGAATTTTGTTCGTTTTGAAAGCAAAACCTGCAACTATAAATCAAAAGTGATCTGATGTAAATTGTAGAGTTTCACACACTGTATCTTATGGTGTAGTTTGTTTTTCTAATACAAATTATCAAAGGATTGAAAATTGCCACACAAAACACGATCATGTAACCTGTCTCACTGATACAAAAGAAATGAAATAGAGAGTTGCGGTTTTCAGCGTTTGAAAGAAGAAATCAGTGGTGTAGCCAGAGAGCTAGAGAGGCTCAGCTCCCACCCCCATCTGATAAAATTTTAGAAAAATGCATTTGTTTATACAAAATGTATTACTGTTTGCAATTTAATGTTTTATGCATCTAGTTTTGTGGAACTCATGTATCTTTTAATAAAAGAATATACAGTAAATGTAAATACAAGTTTCCATGAAATTTTAAAAAGTTATAAGTAGCTTATTTCAGCTGTGTACGAGACTGCATTGATTCGTTTTCATCATGATACAGTAATCTCTGTTGTTGTAAGATCAGAATGAAAACTCAATAGATTTTAGATAGGTTCTATTAATCATTTTAAAAATATCTAGTTCTTTCTTAATTTATGAAATATGTTATATAAATTATAACTTACAATTATCTAGTAATATAATATCATATGTTATAAAAAAAAGTAGCTACAGAATTAATTTTTGGTACTGTATTAGTAAATAACAATATTATATACAATGAATTGTATCTCGATGAATCTTTACAACGATTAGAATTTCTTGAACATTTCATCAATTATTTGGTGATTGGTAGGACAACAACATCTTGAAACCTCTATTGTTGAAAATAACAAAAAACTCATCACTTACAAGAAATTCCAAGAAAAGATGGCATGATACTTGTCCAAACTTAAGAAAATCATATGATTCTTTTTTTTCAAAGAAAAAATACAAACAATCCACAACAGAATATAGAAAATACAAGAAATTATTCTGTTTAACTTGTTTGACGAATATGATTATTCAAATTTCGCAAAAAATTCAACCACTCATCAAAAACAAAAACTAATTAGATCATAAAGAAATTTTGATATGTTATCATTTGATGATAATCATTGACAACTTAGAAATTTGAACAAGAATTACATAATTAAGCACTAAAAAATGATGTTCTTTCATCTTTCCTGAAATTATGAAAAACAAAAGATCTTTTCAATTAATTTAATACAAAAAAACAAAATTCCGAAGTGTCGCTTTATTTATATTTAAACATTTTCACGATTCTTCTACAAACAAACGTTTAAGCACAAAGAAGCCAAGAAATATTTGCAGTTTCATTTTATTATAGCCATACCAGAAGTGTACATCTAGTTTCCGTATTAGGAATTTCCGTTCGAAAAGAACGAGTATTTGAATTCTGTAGAGCACGCAATCTTTCATCATATGATCTACCTTCTTGGAATCCATCGAGGATGAGAAAACTTAATTTTGCGAGACCATTGATAAGTATATGTGCCACTTCAATGATTTCACAAAACCAACCATTTAGTTGTATGACTTGCAAATGAGGTAGTCGTTCGACAATTGAATAAGCAATGTCTAACAAATTTGATTGTTTCCAATCCATAAAAAGATTGAGTTGTCGTAAACCATTTGACGTGAGCATGTCACACAAAGAATTGTCGTTAAGGAGATCGATTAAAGTTTCCTCTTTCAACCTAATTTCAGTATCAAATTCTAATCTATAATGCAGTTCTAGAGTGCGTAGATTCGTCACTTGCGAAAAGAGAAGATGAAGATGATTTCGATTGAATGGTTCGGCAATACTAAGTGTTGTAACTTGATGCCAAGGAACTATGGGTGGTGAAAAAGAAAGAAATTCATCGTTCATTCTATCGTACATTTCACTCATAATAATCACGTCGCAGCGAATCAATTGATTGTTGAAGACAAATCCATTATATGGCCACGGAGTTCGTCTAAATTCAAAAAATGTGTTTAATAATATAAAAGTAATTGTCTATCTATACCCATGAACAACATTTTCACGTAGATAGGAATAGACACATAAAGATTTATCCATTCTTGGTACTGTTAACGCTCGAATAGAATACTGATCTTCTTCTAAAGATAGTTCTAACTCAAGTGGCACTGGTCCTTTCATCTGTTGAAATGTGTCGGATAAAATTTTGCTTGTTTCTAATATTGACGCCACTGTTTTAACAGACCATTTAACATCAAACGAATATATAAACATTGACTGGAAAGCATCAACTGTAAGTTGTGAAGAACGTGGAGACCAGACAACCGTGCCGATAATCTGAACTTTATTAATGAAAATAAAACATCACGTTCAAATAATTCATTAATCGATTCCGGATTCATCATAGAAGTAAACCATGTTATTTTTAGGCAGTACAAATTTGGAGCAAGACGTTTATTAATGGGAATGATTCGACTAAAATGAATTAATAAAATTACATTGTAACAAAAAAAAATGCATTACTTATATTATTTAAATATTTCATAGCACGTACAATTTTCTTTCATTTATCTATTCGATCGTACGTCAGTCTTAATATTATTCCTGTATATTTATTGTGTTCATTCAAAAATAGTCAATTATATTACATCAACTATTTAAAATCGCCTCCTTTCTATTCTTAATATTTGACTCTAAAAATGATTAGATATCGTCTCTCTTATCATTCGTTTTACATTCAGTTTATAAGTTAAAATATACATGACGATTAAAGAAAGACACTTACTTGTAATCACTATGTCTTAGTGGATGATTTATAGGTAGCCAAAGATCAGTCCGTTTATAGTTGAGTTTTTCCAATTGAGGAACATGTTCAAATAAATGTGACAAAAAGCTTGGTGAGCAATAAATTGTAAGTGATCGTAAATTTAAAAGACCAATTTGAACAGGCATAAAAGTTCTGTTAGGTGGTAGAACAAACTCACGGTCTAAAGTAGAGTGTATGTATCGACTGAAAAGTAGCTGACATTCACGTAATGAAGGAAATACGTGAAAAATTCGTTCATAATATACACCTTCAGGCACACCTATAAACGTATCAGAAGCACGATCAACATTTGAAAAGCTTACACAAAATACGATGAGAGAATTAATTGGTGATAATGAGTTAAGAATCAATTCAAAACAACAGCGTTGAATATCGATTAAAGATAAATGACGAAGATTAATAAATGTAGATACATGTTTAGCTAACCAAAAACCATTTGAGATAGCTAATGTATCTGAAGCACATAATGAAATAAGACGACTGGATATGTTCGATTGTGATAAATGTCTATAATAAAATTCAGTCGCTGCTATGCTCATTCCGTTCAAACCCAAGTAAACGGGAATAAGTGATAGATTATCCATAATAGCAGCAAATCGGGAATTAAGATTAGAAAAAACATTAAATACTTCATGAAGCTGGAAATAAATAAATATCTCTAGAAATATTTCGACAGAGAGATTCTCTAATGTTGTTACCATAGTTTGTTTTAATGTCACCTTACTGAATATTATGCATCATTCTTATATAATGACATAATAAACAATAATACAAAGCATTATTGTTTTTTCTTCCAACAGTCAGCGCGCAAGAAGATAATATAATTATTTCTATTCGTTAGCTTAATAGGTCATTGTGTATACAGATTATCTTGTCTTTTTTCTTTTGATTATTTCTTTCAATAGCGTGTTTATTATAAGAGGTTTCAATAAAAAATTTCCGATAGAGGTTAAACAGGTAAAGAAAGATGAATTAACTTATTTAGATTTAAAACACAAATACCCATGTCAAAGACGTACGGTAGGAAACGATCGGATTCCGTGATTTTCCTGAGCATTCCGTAGGAAAACACGGGAAATCCATAGGAAAATGGAAGCAGTATTCCGGTGATCGGATCCGGTGACCAAATCCGCTCAGCTCCATCCGGAACTGATGTCAGGAGCAAATTCCGGGCATTTTCCGGCAGGGTTCCTGCCAGAAACGGTGAGTTTCCTGAGGGTTTTAACCGGAAGTTCTGGGAATACTGCTCCAGGAATCATCGTCCTGGGTAATATCAAGTCTCATGTTGGAGTATAGTCCTATGTGTACTTTCGCTGTTTATATTTCATTAAAACTTGTACATTATTCTATTTAAAAAATATTTTTGTCAGTGAAAGAAATATAACACTTACAATCGATTATGTGTTACAGATACCCAACCATGATTAGATATTGATAGTTTGATGCTGATTATGCGATGGAAGATATATTTCTTCTATGTCATTGATATTAGGTTGAACAATATTCTAGAAAAGCTCATAAATTGGAATTATCTATATATCTTAATAAACTGTTTAACAACTAGTTAAATATTAGAATCAATAGTTTTGATAAAATCTATCTCTTGAACTTGTATGTGTTAATTTCTCTTGATTAAAAATAATAGTCATTCACGTTGACATCCTGTATATGATATTGACAATATTATATTGGTGAAGATGATGAATATGATGATAATTCTCTTTGTTTATTCGTAGAAAAACACACGCTATATATAGGATGGTGAATCATCCTGTTATTACTATGTCCAACAGAGGGTCAAAAGAACACCATGAGGGAAGCTTCCATAACATATACTAGCACATGTAATTGACAGGAAAGGAAAAATCCATGAACGGTATGGACGAGAAGACATAGAAGAAGATGATGAATCACACTACATATGATATATGAATATGTGACAACAGATCGAACGAAACTATATATATATGACGTAAGAAAGAAGTGAAGAAAGATGATGATACTATCTAACATATTTCTACTGTTTTATTAGCATATATCAAGAGATGAATTATGATTTAATTTAAAATACTTGGTACTTACAAATCGATATAAGTACTTTTAATACATACCAATAATATACCCATGCAAGTAATTACTTTTTTTTCCTTTTTGTTTTTTTTTTTTTGCATTCAATTTATTGTACCATGAAGGGTTCACAAATTAAATAGAAAGAGAAATGATAACGACTTTAGATAATTACGAAAACAGGACATTTGTTTTATCATTATACAACAGTTAGGAGATGAAAAGATGTGTATATGTACTTTTGTACTAGTTAAGAATAGAGAGAAAGAGAGAAAATAAAGCGAAGAAAAACATATACGTCGGGAGTATGAAGTAGTATGTATATATATATATAAAAGTTAGTGACATCTTTTAAAGTGATAAATTTTCAGAGGTTAAACATGCATATTAAATTATTTCATTCGTTTCTAGTTTATCCAGTAGTCTGATAAGTGAAGATATATGTATTGAGAGATGTATTTCATCTTATTTTATTTTCTTTTTCTTTTAGTTAGTAATGAATTTGTCGGTATGTATATTATATCGATGAGATATTAAATTTTATACATTTATACATTTAGTTATTAATGATGAACAACAACGAACTTAATTATTTATTATTGTGATTCAAGGTGGTTGAAGAAAGAATTTATATACAAATTTATTAAGGTACAGTGAATTTTCTTTGAAATAGTTGAGTTGTTCCTTTTGAGTGCTTTGAAAAATCCCCCAGTCCTTTAAGGAATGTTGAGCTCTTTTAGCTAATCTGTCAGGGAAGAAACTATGAGAGTAATTACTTACCAACATCATCGACTTTCATCATATTGAATAGTTAATAAAGAAAAAAATGAATAAATCTAGATATATAAAGTCATACATCTATGTTTACAAGATATCGTGAAGACTTTCTTAATATTCATCATTAAAGTAAAAGATTATTTAACTCTTTTTTTGATGAAGAAAAATAATACTAATTATTTCTATTAAGGTACATGTCTGCTACAATTTTAGATACAACAATGTAGAGAATATCTTATGTGTGAATGATAACAATTATTAATTAAAATATTAGATATTTCTTATCTGATTAAATGCTTATTATAAATGGAGAACAGAAGTATTAAAAGTTTTTATTTTCGAGGATAAAAAATAAAATCGATTAGAAATGGTTAATTTTAAGAGTTATTAACGTCTAGTTCTGTTTTTCTAAAATAGAATTCCATAAAAAAAATAAATAGTTAGTCGTAATAACAACAAAAATATTAATGTATTTATCTAAAAAAAATGATTCAATATATATATGATATATTCATTAGTAACACATGTCTTCGGAATAATTAAAAAAAATATTCTATTCGATCGAATCAGTTTAATTCTGTGATTATAAAATATCACATGTTTAATTAATAATAAATTATCTTAGTCCAGCTCTAACATCATACTTATTCTTTGAAAATATATTTGACATTCAATCTATAAATAGAAATCATATTTCAGTGTGAACTTGGTGGAATAAATGTTATTTTGAATAGAGTCATAAAAATATACGTTTTGTTGAGACTTTTAGATATATGAATTCTATCACACTCGATTTTGTCTATTCATATACAACTATATATAAACTCTGATTTCGACTAGGTTCTTGTTATTAGATTAGAATATTTCTAATAAAGACAAATTCATCAAGAAGTAATGAGAATATTAATGAAATATAAAAGTGAATTATTATATTTTCAACGTTTTAATTAATTAAAATATTACATAACTTTACTCAACGTTTAATAGTAATACTAATTTTCTTTTTATTATTTGAATAAAATGACGATAATTAATAGATTAAAAATGTATTTGTTAATAATTATTAAAACATATCATTCAAATATATTTGTTATTTGAACTAATAAAACAATAAACTTTTGTAAACTTTAAAATAAATTTTTTTCTCTATTCATTCATACTTACATATATATATATATATCTTTCGTTTTCTCTCGCTATACCAGACGAATCTATAGAGTGAGCCCGTCATATTCGTCTAGTTAAATTCATTTTTCCATCAGTAAGTTAATAAATTTTTCTTTATTTATATTTAAAAATGGCAACACCAATGGTAATTCTCGTCTTGGGTGGTAATGGAATAACTTTTTTTGATGAGCACTATCATCTGAAGTTATATGTAATTAAAAATGATAATATGAAACTATCAATCAAAACGGAATGCACAGACTATCTACCAAGAGCTATCAAACTAAACCTACCGTGCAAACACATCCCTGAAGACCAAAAAACTGATCGTCTTTTGCTCCATTTATACGTTGAATAAGTGGATTTAGTGTGTGGGTGTGAGTATTTTACTTCACTCTCATCCACACCCACATCCTCAAAAATATCATATTATTATCGTGTTCGATTGAAACTGATCCGAAAAATAATTCGTTATTATGGTGTGTCGTTTCGTCATGTCAAATTTTAAGGTGATGAGATGGTTACCGGTGTTAAATTAGAACAAAGTCGTCGATAATATGAAGACATTTTACCGTTGTATTGTTTCGACAAGAAGAATTACGGACGATTCAGGAAATAAACTTTTTCTCCTCTTTAGCGTCTATTTTCTTCTTTCTTGCAGGGGGAAGGGTGTTACGATATGAAATATCATGACATTTATACCGCAGTTATTTTCTTACGTATTTTTCTTGTTGTTATTCATATATATATGCGTTTAGTTATATAAAGAAAAAGGTTGGTTATGCCTCGCAAGAAGTGAACTCGATGTCTTCTCTTTAATATATATAACGAAGTACAACAATAAACACTACCATCTTAACTTGTATATTATCGATAAAGATAATACCAGAGCATTAATTAAAACAGAAGCCATCAATTACTTGCCTCAGACAATAAAGATTAACTTACCATACAATAATATTAACGATATAGATGACAAAGAAAAGCAGCGCACGTTATTTTATTTATATGGGGAGTTAGTGGAAGCGATGGAAGAAAAGATAAAAATAAAAATAATTGATAAAATTCCATTTAAACCATTGAATTTTAATAGGCTTCTTTCAGTCAATTTTCGAGATGCAAGTCCTGCTGAACAAAATTAATTAAGTACTTAATTTATCGAAGAGTATTTTTTATTTTATTTTAAATAAAATTAATTTTTTATTTTAGACATCAGTTTATTATTTATTATATCTTACTGTTTATTATGACTTAACGGTGTGGGTATTCTATTTCACTCTCATCTACACCCATCCACCCACACCCACACCCTCGTTTATGGACTCCATAACGCTCGATCTAGGTATGTGTTATGTGTGAAAAAAACATGTCGTATTTACCTGAATGTTCTCTTTTTGAAATTAAAGTAATATATTTTTCTTTTGTTTCAGATTTAAAATGAAAAATCAAGTGATCCTTATAGCAGATTTGAGAGGAATGAGTGTAACGAATTTTGATATGAATAAATATATTGTTGTTAAATAAGGATAGAATATTCGTTACTTGCTGCAGACTTTATTTTATTTGTGATCACAAAGAGAAATTGGAAGAGTAGCGTTACCGCTATCCTCGGTATTACACGATGTTCACTACACTACTACATTATTCCAATTCTGTCTTTACAACATAAAACACACGCTTTATATACGCACACAAGATAGAATAGAAAAAGAGATAGAACATACATTCTATTCATTACGTAAGAGTGACTTAATTATGTCTGTCGGCATCGTCACGACACTCGACGGAACATCGCTAATACAGCTGTCACATCAGTCTAATAATGTATGCGTGATAGTATTACCATATTACATAACATCAAGGACGATGTACTATTTCCTTCCACGAGAAGAGGAAAGAAAGAAAATCATAAGAAGAGGAAACGTGAAATGTGAATTAGAAAAAGGATGTCCAGCCAGTATTGGCACAATGAGATTCTTCGAAAAGCACTACCAGTTCAACGTTTGTTTAATCGGTAGTGATAACTCAAAATTATCAGTCAAAAAGCCGATAATATTGGTTGTTTTTTACAAGCAGAAGAAGAAAGTGAAGAAATAAATATTTTTTGTAAAAAAGAAAAATACTCCCCTAATATTCCCACAAATAAATCACTACCAGAATCATTTACTAAATAATTGTTGTACATAAATAACATTAAATCCACTAAAGATAAGCAATCATACGCTGCATATTTAATTAAACGATTGTGATACATGGACGAGTAATTTTTCGTCTAACCCAATTGACCATGAACGACAAGTATCTCGCTTTGATAAATATTTATGTAAAGTATACGCCAGACCGTTCTGTAACCTCCATAATTGATTGTTTGTAATTTTTATACGATTAATTTTCGATGAAGAAAAATATAATTCAAACATTGATGCTGATGCATGAATAACTACTAAATCATCATTATTATTTTTGACATTATCAGCTTCATTTGTTCTATTCAAAATACATCAAACCATTTTGCAAATAACGCTTGAACATCAATTACATGTGAAAATATAGATGATGTAAACAATTGATATCGTTCCAATTTTTGTAATTCAGATTCCACTGGTCCTACGAGTAAAGGTAAGTTTTTTTTACGAAATTAAGTTAAAGCACTGTACTGATGGATTAGGTAAAAAACAAGTTTCTATTAATAACATAGAAGATGATGATGAAGCAGTTGAAGGTAACACTAATAGTTGTATAAGTGCGGGTGTATAACTATGAATATCTGCTTCTGTATCGAGAATAAAATAAATTGCATTTTTAGCAATATTCAATAAATAAATTAACTCATTTTCTAATGTATTATAATTAATAAAATAAAGGTTAAACGATGTTGCTGGAACATATGCAGGAAGTTTTTCTTCATAGAACTTCTCTTTTTCTTCATTTTTCATAAAATAGCAACCATTCTTAAATATCAAAGTAGATAAAATTGTTAATTTTTCCAAATACGTAATATTTTTACATAAGAACCATTAAATAATAACCAGGAAATAATGACCTTATGATATACGGTACAAGAATTTGTATTGATATAATCAAGAATATTATTTTTTTATTCGAATTCAAGGTTTTATTTCTGATCTACCTGCGAAATCTCTATTTTTTGAAAACGATTCATTTTAATGGAAGCCGTGCTTGTACGTGGTGCGTTACTTGTGGTACGTTTATATTTGTTGAGATTTTTTTCTTGTTATTGTCTTTCGTTCCGTATGCGTTATAATATATTAATCTAAGTTTAGGGCGTAGGTATTTTATTTCACCCTCATTCACACCCACCCACAACCACAGCAACATCCACAGCTACAACCCACAACCACACCCACAGCTTTATTATTTGGATATTTTCCTACTGACAAAATGATGATACTCAATTATCAATTACAATTGAAAGTACGGATTGTTTTTGCCACGCACAATAAAATTCAACTTGCCATGCAAATACAATGCTGAAGATCAAAAAAATGATCGAACTTTGTTTCATTTATACATTGAGTTAGCTAATTCAGTCGACGAGCAAAAAATTTCCATTCAGGTCATCAAGTTTGAATAGATTGTTTGTAATGAATATGCATAACACAAATCGTGATCCAGCATCATCGTCTGCTGAAACAAATGTTAACAATAAAACTATGCAGAATGAAAGTTAATCACATCATTTATCTACATCAAGCAATCAACATAATCAAGTACTTAGTTAATAAAACAATATTTTCTATTGTATTCTTAGTAAAATTAATTTTTTATTTTAGGCCCAACTTTATCTACCCACGTATAAACAAAAACACTTATCTCTATTATAGATGCCTTTCTTTATTGTTCTATGTACTACTTTCAGTACTATTGTTTTTGTTATATTCTAGCAGCCAGTGTGACTTTGATAAAAAAAGAAAATAAAAAGAAAAAAACAATTCTATAGCATTAATTCATTCTTTAAATTAAAGACCAAACTCTTACTATTATTTTTCTAAGTTTGCAAACGACTATTGACGAAATATTTAATGTATCATAAATTACTTCAGTATTCTATTACCATTTTACAGTCATGAAAAACCATCTTGAGGGTGTGGGTGTGGATACTGTATTCATCTGGCATCCGCAACCTCAACCAGGTCATAATAATGAATAACATGTTCCATAAAATCGAAAAAGTGACAGAAGTGTAACAAAAATGTTGCATGTACAAGTCTCGATTGTGATATTATTAAGTTTATCTTTTTCTATAATGATATTTTATTTTGCATGGGCATTCTGTGAACAAAAATCTGCTATTCAACAAATTACCGAAGGATTCTTATTTAATATCTTTCTTTTCATGGTATTTGTATTAAATTGTCTTTCATTTTTTTCTCTGTACACTTAATGGAATTGTTTTTCGGCAAACGTTTCTTAATATCGAAAAGGAGATAATGCGAAAATTACTTTGATGCCACTAGCGAACTGTGCAAATTGAATTAATCTAACATTCATATGCGTTATAAAGTTTTACTTGCACAAATAAACACAAAAGTGACCTAATTTTCTTTACTTCAAAAATACAAATATCAGTACTAAGAATTGTCTAATATCTCAATACACGCGATCGATTTGTCTTTCTCTTTCTAATCTATTTTTAATTCCACACAATCCCTAATAATCTGCAATCCATAGGAATACGCCTACTCGAATGATGTTATTCAATTAAATAAATAATTCACCTTCATATCTTCATAACATCTACTTTTTTTTTTCAGAGAAAATATTTTTATTTATTTTTTTAAGTTTTGAATCGAATCGAATAAAAAGGTAAAAAAATAGTTCGTCGTTTTGTTCAGCTGAAGGAAATTTACTTGTCGAGTTTCTGTGAGTTAAAAATAATACTACCAACGTGAGACGTTATAGGTATAAATGAATTGTTTCGATTTTCTAGCAATTGCTTTACAAATATCAAAGGATTCAATGTGAATTGAGTATCGTCGAGATTTAAACGAATACGGTGTATCTGATTACTAACAAATCCATCAATAGCAATCCAACCTTTTTCAAAAGCTTTATTTTCTGTTTTCGTCCGAGGTCTAGGACATAAACTTAAACATTGACAGTAGGCTCTTTGCTCATCATTTGTTTCAAAATAAAGAGTACCATTAAAGACAAACAATGATGCTAACCGTTGATTTGGTATAGAATATATAGAAGGCGAAGATTCATTAGAATGCGTAATCGATGGAGGAATTGTTAGCGTTGGAATGTTAACAAAAATGGATTGAGTGCGTTTTGTACGAGGTAATAATAAACGTAAAGTAGTATTAGTCATATTGCTCGATCGTAAGTAATCAATTAACCAATTGGCTTCGAAAGGACTTATAAAAATAATGTGTTTATTTCGATAGACAATAATCCATCGTGGTGGTCGTAAAAATGAATCATATTTGTCTCCTTTACTAGAAATAACTCGTTGAAATTCAGTAGTAACCCAAAGATTCTTTTGCCATGTATCTAATTGACAATTATTGAATAATGTTGTATTATAAAAAGCATATGCTATTGGTTGAAATACTTTCGTCAATTGTTGTAATTTTAATTCATCATCATGTACATCACCTAATCGTTTAATTTCTTCATGAAGGATAGGTTCAACTGGTGTTACAGATGACGGACGTTCTGATTGTCGTTCTTCTTCTAATTCTTGTTCTAATTCTCGTTGTTGTTCTTCATCTAATAACTGTGATAAACGTGTTTTCGATCCACCATACTCTTGCAATCGTTTTAGAACAGCATTATGAATATCAGATGATAAAAAAGAAACAGAATGTTGACATCGAGCAGAATAAATCACATCTAATTTATATAACTCTTTTGATGTACCATACATTTGTTGTAATTCAATTATTTCTGGTTCTAAACATTGTTCAGCAAATTCTTTCATGACTTGATTAGGCATTGTTTGTCGTGCAACGGCTCCTTGCATTTGTTGCGATGCACTTAATTTTCGTTGAAAACTTAAACTTTGTTCTGCCCAATGATGTAAACCTTCCCATGTCGAATGAATTGTATTTTGATATACCCAACGAAGAATATTAATAACATAATTTTGTTCACTTGAACATAATTGTTTAGTTAAGGATGTTATCTGTTGATGAACTTCATTTGAACTCCAAAATGTTAATGAATGACCATGTCCTAATTGTCTCATTCTCATACATGCTTGAACAAATCGATCTTTTGTTAAACCATTACCTAATGTAACTGCTGCACGAAATCCTTGAGGAAATTTAAAATCTGTTCCACGAGTATGAATTTCATCAAGATAGAATACACAATGATCTAATCGTTCACTAGCCGGAGATGTTTCAAATCGTTGATGATGATATTGTCGATCACAGACAACAATAGAATCGAAATCAAAGTAAACAGCATAATCAATTTGATGTTTATCTGATAAATTTAACCAATGAACAGCAATATCACGATTAGTTTTATCAATAAACAATGCACCAACATCTAAAATAACATTTATATTTTCTTTATATTCACAAATTTGTTTTAAAATATCATTTGAAATTGCATTGATAGGTAATGATTGATAATTTTGATTTTCATTTTGTAATAAATTATTAATAACAATCGCATCAGTTTTTTGTAATTCAGGTAATTCATGTTGATGAATATGTACGAGCAGTCATCCTATTCCGGAAAGTTACACATTCCGGAATCGCTTGGCTCACCCAACTTAACATGATTCAATTCCGGAATTCCTTGCATTCGATTCCTGCCTATTCCGGAATGCCTTGCCTTCGATTCCTGCCTATACCGGAATTCCCGACATTCGATTCCTACCTATTCCGGAATTCCTGCACATTCCTACCAATTCCGGAATGGCTCGATCTATTGATATTTACGTAAAACTTAACATAGAGACCTTTCGTCGGTATGCAAGCACAATAGTGTGGGTGCGCGGGGAGCTCGGTCCATGGGCAAACACAATAATGTGGGTGTGCGGGAGGCTCGGTCCGTGAAGAAGTACGCAATAGGCAGGAATTCCTGCCTATTCCGGGCGATTCCGGAAAAGCCGGATTGTGCACGAATTCCGGAATTCCGCTAC